CCTCAGGGGAGTCTAGGGGACACATGGGGACACCTGGGGACACCTGGAGACAGAGGGGACACCTGGGGGCAAGGGGGACACCGGCAGACGCAGGGGAACCCCAGAGGGGTCTGGGGGACACCTGGGGACGCCCCTTTACGGTGATCACACCCCATTACCATGACCTCGCCTCCTTTGCGCTGACCACGCCCCTCACGCCCCTCCCCCCCTCCTCTCCCATCGCCCTCCCCTCTCTGCGCCTGCGCACCCGTGCCTCGCTATTCACAAAAACTACAACTCCCGTGGTGCCCGGCGCAGAGGGCGGGGCAGGGGGCGGGGCAGAGCGCTGATTGGCCGTCGCTGAGGTTTGAACGCGCGCGCGGAGCGAGGTGCCCTCTGGAGGCCGGAAAGGAACGGCCGCGAAACGTGAGCGGAGGTTTGGGGGTTCGTGAGCGGGGGCTCGGGGGGGCTGCGATCACCAGGGGACCTGGGGAGGGCGGCCGGGGCGGGAGGGGGTTGGTAAGGAGGAACCGGGGGGCAAAGAGGGGGGTGAAAGGCCTGAGGGTAGCGGGAGGGGTGTGGTTGGGCTGTCCTGAGGGGAGATCGGGAGTCGTGGGACCCCCTCAGAGGGCTGAGGGTCCCGGGGGTCCTGGGGAGGGGAGCTGTGGGTGGGAAGGGTGAAAGGGGGCGGGGTGAAAGGCGTGAGGGGCTACAGAAACGGGGGAGGATTTGGAGGGGCCTGAAGGGGAAGCTGAGGGCCTGATATTGGGGCTGGGGGCCTGAGGATGTGGGGGCTGGGCGGGGGGGGGCTGTGAGCTTTAGGGGTCTGTGAGCTCGGGGGCGGAGTGGGCTGTGGGGGTCTCACACCTTCTCCTACCTCCCCCAGCCCCACATCACTTTGGAAACCCCTCAGAGACTCCTCAGGATGGACGGGAAGGAGGAGCGGGACGGCATCGAGGAGAGACTGAAGAAGCTGAGGGTGAGCTGGAGGTCCCTCCCTGGGGAGGGGTTTTTGGGCTGGAAGCTGAGTCTCTGCTTTTCCCAGGAAACCCTCTGGGTTTCTCACTGGCACCCCCCAGCTGTGGGGGAGCTAGGGGGACTCTCAAGGGGGATCCTCAGGGGGCTCTGAGCTGGGTTTGGGGGTTCCTTATTCCTAGGAAACCTTCTTTATCCCTCTGGCAAACCCCCTGGCTGGCTCTGGCCTTGGGACTGGGGGTCTGACTCACTCTTTCCCCCAGGAAATGACCCTCGGGGAGCTCTGGGTGGGTTGTAGGGGTCTTAACTCTGTCTTCCAGGGGTCTGAGTCCCTGTCTCCCCACAGGATTCCCTGCGAATCCCGCCAGGAGTGCCCCCACCATCCCGTCAACAGCGGCTCCAGACGTGTGACCGCGTGCTCCGATCCTGTGTGGAACAGCTGGGCCGGGAGGGTCCCCCCTCCCTTGGCCCCCCCCTTGTGGCCCTGGCCCAGGAGGCTGCCAGGGGCTACCTCAGCATGGTCCCGAACCCCCCAGGCTTGTATATGGAGAAGATCCTCTTTCACCTGCTCAAGAACGCTGTGAATTCCTGCCAGAGCACCGGGAATTCCTGCTGGGCTGCGGCAGAGCTGCTGTGGGAGCGGCTCCGAACCTACGCCCCCCTCCAGGACCCCCCCAAGGACTTCACCACCGTCACCTACAACGCCTTTTGTGTCCTCTGGAAAGGGGCAGCGGCCCTGGCAGGGCCTGACCGGCCTCGGGAAGAGGGAAGATCCCTGTTTTCTGCCCAGATCCGTGCCCTGCGCTTCCTGCTTCTGCTGGAGCGGGACAGGGGGTCTCTGCCCTCCCTGCAGCCCCCCTTCTTCACCTCCCAGACGGCCCAAAAGGCAGCAGCAGCCTCTGCCCTCTATGAGGCCGAGAGGGCTCCCTGCCCTGTGTTCTTGGCTCGGCAGCTCCGGGAATTCCTCCTGGAGACTCTCTGTAATGAAGCCTCAAATCCTCCCAGCATCCAACACTCCCTGTGCTTCTTGGAGCTCACCCTGGAGCGCTCTAGGCACCTCTGCAGGGCTGGCAGGTTCCACGAGGCCCTGGAGGCCCTGGAGGAGGCCAAGGCATTCCTGGGGCACTCCAGGGAGGATTTGAGGGCCCCCCTGGTGCTGCTGGAGGCCGGGATCCAGCTGGGAAAGGGGAGGTTCCCCCCAGGGCCCCTGCTGTGCCAGGCAGCTGCAGCACTGAGGGGGGAGGGCTCGGAGAGGACCCTTGGGGTGCTGCTGGAGGGGGCCCGGTTTGTGACGTCCCAGCTTGGGGAGGTGACGAGGAGGAGTCGGGAGCTGCCCTTCAGCCTCGAGGACCTACCTGGGCTCTGTGCCTTCACCGAGGGGCATTGCCGGGCCCTGCAGCGGCTGCTGGGCAGGGTGAGGGCCTGGGGGAGCTGGGAGTGGGTCTAGGGGCAGCTGTCAGAGGTGTGACCCTGTTTTGGGATTGAGGTTCACTTTGTGTGAACCCTCTATGTCCCTCTCCGATGTTCTTGTCACCAGGAGCAGCTCCAGAAGCTGCTGAACCCCCAAATCCCACTTTCCTCCTTCCCTGCCCTTCCCAGGTGCATCCCAGCAGCTCCCAGAGATCTTGCAGCCCCTGATCCTCATTTTTCCCATTCCCAGCTCCTGGAGCTCCTGACCTTTCTGAACCCCTTTTTTCCTCCCTCCAGGTGCCCCCCGATGCCCTCAAGCAGCAGGTGACGGTGAAGCAGCTCCTGTTCCGGAGCCTCCAGCTCTTCTCCAACACCGTCCACGACACCTTCCAGGGCTCCCAGGTACCCCCAGGATGGACATCCAGGATCCTTGGGGTTGGAAGGGGGGCTTCACTGAGGGGGTTCTGGGAGTGCTAGAATCTTCTCCCTTTGTTGGTGGGGTTGGAAAGGGGAGTTTGGGGTGCTCAGGATAAGACCCTTGGGATGCTGGAAGCCCCTTGGGGTTGGAAGAGGGGGCTGGAGGTGCCCTGAGGGTGTTCTGGAAGCTTGTCCCCTCCTTGGTGGGCTTGGAAGGGGGGCTTCAGCCACCCTGGGGGATTTCTGGGGGTCCTGGGGGCTTCTCCCCTTAGTGGGCTTGGAAGGGGGGCTCAAGGTGCCCTGGGGGTGGTTCTTTGGGGGCTGTAGAGGTTTGAGGTCCCCTTGCTGACTCTGTCCCTCCAGCCCTCAGGGTGGCTGGGGCTGGCCCAGGTGAGCAGGAGCTGCACCCAGAGCGTGACCTGGATGGTGGAGGCTCTGGAGGGGCTCCCCGAGACCGACAGGACCAAGTTCCTCGATGTCACAGGTCAGTGCCACCAAGGGGGAGCCCTTGTCCCTGTCCTGGGGGGAAGGTGTCTCTGTACAGTTGGGAGGTCCCAGTCCCCCTGTGGGTGGGGAGGGGGCTCTCTCAGTGACTTTGGGTCTCTCTCCCCACAGCCTCGTGTACCTTCAAGCTGGGCTTCGCCTTTCAGAGCCAGAACTTTCTGGAAGAGGCCGGAACCATCTGCGAGCCCTTCTGCAGGGGGGTGGGGGAACTGGGGGGCTACGGCTGCCCTGACACTTCCCCAGAGAGGGTATGGGGGGGCTGGGAATGGTGAGAGGGGGAGTGGAGGGGTTTGGTCTTGGAATAGCCCCTATCCCCAGCTCTGAGCAATTCTCCCAGGTGGGAAAGGGTTGTCTCAGTGAAGGGAAAGAGGATGGGACCAGCTTTGTCCTCCTGGGACCAGCTCTTCCTCTTTTTTTCCCAGCCCTTCCCTTGTTCCGGGTTGGGAAGGGAGACATGAGATTATCCCAGTAAGGAGAGGAACTGAGAGGATAGGAATGGCTTAGCCTCTGAACAGCCCCAATTCCCAGGTTCCCTACTCCCAGGTGGGGATGGGATACATGGATGTCCAGAGCAGGTTAAGGGGGATGCAGAACCCCTGGAATTCCCTCTCCATGCCCTGATTCTCTTCCTGTTCTCCCACAGCTCCACAAGTGTTTCCGGGTGCAGGTGGAGAGCTGGAAGCGCCTGGGGTGGCTGGAACGGGCTCTGGGCTCAGTGACCACGTGGCTCCTGGCCCTGGCATGGCCTGGGAGACCCCTGGCTCAGGCTGGGGGGGTCCTGGGGACCGAGCCCGGGGGGCTCCTGCATGAGCCCGTGGGACTCTGGGCCAAGATCAAGTTGGAGGCGGCCAAACAGGGACAGAAGGAGCTGCGGCTGCGGTGAGGGGGAACTGGGGGGCTGAGAGGGACTGTGGTGGGGACTGGGAGCTGCTGTGAGGGTGGTGAGGCCCTGCAATGGATTTCCCAGAGGATGCCCCATTCCTGAGACTGTCCCAGGCCAGGCTGGAGTCGCCTGGGATGGTGGAAGTTCCCAAAGCAGGGGGTGGGATGGGATGAGATGAGCTTTAGTGGTCTCTCCCAACCCAACCCCTTCCATGAATCCTTGAAAACAACAGGATTTTTCCCCCCAGGACCCTCAAGGACTCCCTGGAAGGCCATTCCCTGGACAAGGCCACCCTGGTGTCCTTCCTGCTGGCTGAGCTCCAGGCCTATAAGTGCCTGAAGTGGGACACGGGGCCAGAGCGTTACAACGTCCTGTGTGACCTCCTGGAGCTCTGCCCCGAGGACCCCGGGGGGCTCCTTCCTAGAGCTCTGGGGCTCCTGGAGCTGGCCCAGGTCCTGTGCTACCACAGCTTCGCCCCCCACACCAACTGGTGGGTGCCCTGAGACCACCCTCATGCCAAATACCCCCCGGAAGTGGTGGAGGCACTGGAGGGTTTCAGGTTTGGGGTTTTGGGGAGGGGGTTTGTGGGTCTGGGGTAGGGGAGAGTGTTTGAGGGGTGGGAAGGGGTTTTTGGGGTCTCTGGTGGGGTGGGGGAAGAGCTTTTCCAGGAGAGATGAGAAGGTGGGGAAGGGTTTTTTTAGAACTCTGATGGGTTGGGATGAGCTTTTCCAGGCCCATCTTGTTGAGTGTCCATCTGGGAACATTTTTTTTGGAATCCCCTGTCCCTGTTTGAGGTCTCTCAGCCCCGTGGTGTCTCTTTGGGGTCCTGAGGTGTTTCCCTCCCTCTCCTGTGGATCTCCAGGGGTTTTGGGGGCTTTTCCTGATTCCCCTGTGGAGCTCCAGGGATTTTGGGGGGGGTTTCCTGACCCATTTTCCCGGCAGCTCCGCTCTGGACGCGATCCAGGAGGCCCTGAGGCTGCTGGAAAAGGTGCAGCGGAATTCCCAGAACCGGGATCAGCTCCTGGATGAGAAGGCCCAGGCCCTGCTCTGGCTCCACATCTGCACCCTCGAGGCCCACATGGAAAAGGTTTTGTGAATCAGGGGCTCGAAGGAGCTGGTTTTTCCCAGGATTTGGGAAAATCCCAGAGCTCTGGGTGTGTCCCAGACCCATCCAGAGCCTCCTATGGTGTCCCAAATTCCCAGGGCATGGAGAGGGAGCAGAGGGGGAGGACCCAGGGCAGCAAGAACCTGGAGGACTTTGAGCCCAATGACCTGAATGCCGAGGGAAGGGCGGGAGAGGAGCCGGATCCGTGGGATGGGATCAGCTGCACCCTGGACACTGACAGAGGTGAGTGGGATGGAGCTGGGGGAGGGGGCTGGGGGACCAGGAGAGGCTTTTCTGGGACCTTGGAGGGGTGGGAAGAACTTTTCTTTCAGGAAGAGCCAGGTGTCAGCCTGGGAATCCTCCTTGGCCCTGCCTGGCTCTGTCCGAGCTCTCTTAGCCCCTTGGTGTCCCCTCAGCTCTTACCAAAAGCCTGGATGAAGCCTTTTCCTTGTGGAAGCAGCTCCTGGAATCCCCTGGAATTCCCCGTGTTCGGAGCCTGGAACAAACCGTGACCTCCCTGCACCTCCTGGCCACCCTCTACAAGCTCCTGGCCAAGGTGAGACCCCCCAGGACCACCAGGAAACCCCACAGGAGGTGGTTTTGGGCCATAACCAGTGGATTTTGTGCTTCCCAGCCCATTCAAGCCCTGGAGAGTTTCCTGCTGCTCCAATCCTTGTGCCGGAGCCTCGGCGACATTCCTGGCACTGCCTGGGCCTTGTCTCACCTCACCCGGCTCCTCCTGCAGCTGGAATGTCCCACCCATGCCCAGGTGAGCCTGGAGTGATGCGCTGGAATGGTTTTGTTGATCCCTGAGGTCCTGGTGTTCATTCCCGTGTGGCATTCCCAGGTTTTTCTGGAGGAGCTGGAGTGTATCCCACAGGAATTTCCAGCAGCTCCTCCAACATCCTGGGAATGACCAGAAAGGGGTTTGGATGATCCTTGAGGTCCTGGTGTTCATCCCAGTTTGGCATTCTCAGGTTTTCCTGGAAGAGCTGGAGTCCATCCTGAGGGAATTCCCACGTGGAGATGAATCCCAGCAGCTCCTGCAACATTCCTGCCTCCTGCTCCGGAGCCACCTGTGCTGTGTCAGCCAAAACGTAAAGCCAAAAGGGCTCCTTTTTGCCCTGAAATTTGTGGGAAGAGGGAGTTTGAAGGGTGGAGAGACCCCCTCCAAAAGTAGGACAAGAGGGAATTATGGATGTGGAGGCCCCATGCAATCCCCGTTTTTTTTCCCAGGTGGAGGAGGGGCTGTCCCTGCTCCTGCAGGTTGTCCAGAGCCCCCTGGCCCAAAAGGCCACCAAGGGCTGGTACCTACTCCAGGCCCAGGGGCTCCAGGTGGTGGCCATGTACCTGGGAATGGCTCCTGCACACTTGGGTCCAGAGCTCCGACACCGGCTCCACCAGAAAGGTGGGACTGGGGGGATGGGAGTCACCCCTGGGGGGGTTGCAGGGGTATGGAGAGGGGATGAAGGGTTCCAGGGAGGTTTTGGGGGGAGGATGGATAGTCCTAAAGGGAGGACAGTGGGGATAGGGGAGGAGGGTCCCAGGGGGTCTCTGGGGGGATGAAGGGTTCTGGGAAGGTTTAAACTCTGGGAGTTTGAGGAAGAGGAATGGCGGGAGTTTGGGGATGAGGATGGGGAGGATGGAGGGGGTTTGAGGATGGGGAGGAAGGGGGAATTGAGGGATGAGGAAAAAGGTTCAATTTGAGGAGGAGGAAGAGGGTTTGGTGGGAGGAGAAGGAAACGTGGAACAAAGAGAGGGAATTTTGGGGGTCTCTCCATGCTGGGGGTGCTAGGAAGGGCTTTCTTTGGTGCTCACCCCCCTCCCAAACCCCCCTAGGCTGGAAGACGCCCAAAGTGGCCCTGATGGAGGTCCAGAAGCTCCTTCGCAGTGTCATCATTTTCCTCCTGGGCTTTGACATCCTGGGGGGCTCCCGGAACAACGAGGGGGGAGAGCAGTTCCAGGACTATGGTGAGAGGGGAGGGAGAACCCTCTGGAATGGGGTGGGATCCCTGGAAAGGATTGGGAGCCTCTGGAATGAGTTGGATTCCTTGGAAAGGGTCAGGTTCCTCTGCAATGAGTTGGGCTCCTCCAGGGAGGACCAGGAGCCTCTGGAACAGCTCCTGCTTCCCCTGCCCCCGCCAGGTGCCAACGTGGTGCTGAAGTGGGAGGTGCTGGGGGAGGCCCTGTGGTGCTGTGAGCGCCTGGTGATGCTGCTGGGCTGGGCCGAGGTGCTGTGCCGGGCCAGGGCCTTCTGCGGAGAGGCCCTCAGGGTGTCGAGGCTGCTGCAGGGCACACGGTGGTGAGTCCTGGGGTTGGGATCCTCGGGGTTGGGAATGGGGGGAAAATGGGACTAAAGAACAGGATTGGCAAAACCCTAACACTAAACCTGAGGGGTCTTTGGGGGGGTCTCAGGGATGTTTTGGGGATCTCAGGGCATTTGGGGCATCTGAGAGGTCTTTGGGGGGGTCTAAGGGGTCTCTTCCCCATCCCTTTTCCAGGTGCACGTCATTCCTTCTGCTGAAATCCCAGCTGGAGCTGCAGCAGGGGGAGCTGGAGCTGAGCCAGCTCAACCTCCAGCACACCCTGTTCCTGCTGCAGCCCCACCCAGGTAAGACCCCCAGGATGCAAGGGGGGTTTTGAGGGGTGGAGGAATCCCTGAGTTTGGGGGGATCCCGGGGGTCCCCAGTTTTGGGATCTGCCTCAGGATCCTTTCTGGAGCTGGAGCACCCGGAGTTGACCTTGAGCTGTGAGAGTGTGGGATTCAGGTTGGATTCTTTGGCTAGAGGACCCCAAATATCCCTCCCTTCCATCCAGAGTTTAAATCCAGAAAGGAGAGTGTTAGATCCAGGTTTCTCAGGCTGAAGGACCCCAAATTAACCCTACCTTCCCTTTCAGAGCCCAAACCTCCCCAGGAACCACTGCTCCCACCCAAGATCCACCTGAGGAAGGGCCACATGGAGCCAAGGAGGCGCTGGGACCACCCCAAAAATGCCCCAGGAGAGGACGATGAGGGGTTCCTGAAGGGCCCTGCCCTGGAATTCGTCGCCCCTTCGAACTCCCAGGACCCTCTGGGTGCCCTCACAGCCTCCCCCGAGCTGAAACCCATGAGGAAGATTAACCTGGCCTTCCTCTCCCACCCCTGGAGCTGCCCCTGTTGCCGCTGCTCAGACCTGGTGGTGTCGGTGCTGGGCCTGCGCTGGGCCCTGGCCCAGTCTCGGGGCCAGGTCCTTGCAGGGGAGGGGGCCGCGGGGGTAGCCCTGGTGAGGAGGGTCCTACCCCGCTGTGCCAGGGTGGGCCAAAGGTTTGCCAGGGAGCTGGGGGATAGGCTGGGGGGGCACCATGGAGAAGGGGAGCCCCCCAGGGACAGGAACCACCCCAGGAACCAGGATATCCCTGGGAATGGGGACCCTCCTGGGACTGGGGACCCTACCAGGCACGGGCACCCACTTGGGTACTGGGACCTGGGGCTGCAGGACCCCCATGAGGACCAAGACCCTGCTGAGAACTGGGATCTGCCCACCCTGGAGCCCCAGAACCCCCCCAAAACAAGACCCCAGCCCACCCTGGGCCTGCTGGATGAGCTGGTGGCCATGGGCTACTGCACCTTGGCCCTGCAGAGCCTGAGCAGCCCCGGGGGGCTCTGGGACCCCCAGGACAAGGAGCTGGAGTGGGGATTGGCCTTCCTGGGGTCCTGCAGCCCCCACCTGCCTGGCCTGGGGGTCTCCAGAGCCACCCTCCTGCTGGCCAAGGCCACGGCCACCCTTGGCTACATGGCCACCAAACTGGGCCT